GTTTAAAAATTTAACAAATTAATTAAACAATATCGTTTTTATTAAATTTTTAAACATTCTCTTCACTCCATCGCTTGTAGAAAGTTACAAAGAGCGAATAAACTTCTATAAATATCTATAAGTAAATTGACTAATAATATTGATAATGAGTCAGTCAAATACATTTAATTTATTTTATTCTATCGTGGGGGGTAGAAAAAATTAAATATGTTACCATTTCCGGCTTACGAAACGGTAGACTAAACACAAGCTTAATTTTATGACAAAGTGTTTTCTTTAATGAGCAAAGATACTCTGTGGACGTATTTAAGATTCAGAATCCTCGCTTAGGCTTTGTATTATTAATATTTGTGTCACATTGGCCTAGATTCTTCATTCATATTATCTACAGATCTATATCCTGATACTTCAACAGGAGTTTTTTTTCTTTAATCTTATTTCGTCAAGGCCGCTCTAAAAAGCATTAAATAAAAACTCTGGAAGTAATTAAATGGTATTAAATAATATAAATAATCATTTTTCCTTGTTAAAAAATTTAAATTAAAAGACTTCTATTCATTCCGCATAAAGTTATATTGTTATTTAAGATCCAAGATCATGTTATGTTAGAAACTAACTATACTAGTGATCCTATCGTAAGGTATTCATATGAATAGATTACCGGGCCTCACATATACGGAGGCCTCAAAAACATCTGTTAAAAATTAACTATCATATTGTGTGTTAAAAAGTTTAGTTTATTGTTTAAAAGTATAGCACACGTTTTTAAATATTGTTTTGTTGTTTTTGATATACTGAGGGGCTCAGAAATATACGTGGATCAAGTCTTTTAAGACTTCTAAAAGGTCCTAATTATATAGAGAGACTCAAAAGTTTTCGTACAAAACAGACATCTGGAGGGGCACGCTTGTAGTGTATGTGCATACATAATATTAAATGTGTTAACATGAGTTTTTCATGAGTGGGAGTAATGCATGTTTAAGTGCATTCCATTAAATGGCACCAACGTAGATCGTATTCTTTGACTGCATAATGTAGTAGGTCCTACGTATATAGAATTTCATATTAGCCTGTATAATTTCGAGCACAGATTCTTATTATATTATGATATAATAATCTAATAAATTAAATTTCATAAGTAAAATATTATATTCTCCTTAATATATATACATATATATTCATTTATTCATAATATACAGAAGATAAAAATGAATTCTAATGAGTTTTTGAGCAGTTGTTAGAAGTAAAACTGAGGGTTTTTTTAAAAATATTTTTGACAGCTGATAGAATAGTTTCAACACCTTCGGAAGTTGAGAGAATAAATAATATATTAACGTTTACACATATATTCGAGGAAATTTCATTAAATGTAGCGTGAAAAATTGCTTACAATACTACTAAATCGCTGCTGTATCAGTGGCTAACAACTGCGATGCAAGGAAAATGATTTTAAAACAGTTTAAAATCAATTTATTGTGGGCCTAAACAAAATTTACTTACTTATGAAAAATCGAACAATAACATTTCATGTTTTTCAATTTTATGGTTTTTTTTACAACTTATAAATGATATGTTTAATATATATATTACTATTAGGATATTCTTCTGCTATAGCCAGGCCCTATTATAGCATCTACTCATATTTAAGAGGACAGAAAACACTTGTAAAACTTATTTATTCTATTGTATTTCCTGTGTATCAAGGAAAAAACATTTATTTTTGTTAGATTTATTATTTTAATCATACCGGGGGGCCTCATAAAGGTTAAGTAGCTCTGCTCTCTCCCGAATACTAGAAGGCCCTAGTTATTACTAATAAAAGTTTTAAAATTTTCTATAAGAATTCCATTGACTACATTATTATTATTGTTGTTATTATTATATATTATTTTTTAAAAAGTTTTTAAAACTATTTACTTGCATATTAATCTATTTATATAACGTTAATCGTGTCTTTAATTCAATTAAATTGTAACTCCTTGCGCAGATGTCACACAAAAGTTAAATCGAGTTGTTAAATACCTTTCCGCTTTGTTGAACGACTTAATTAACGACAAAACACTTTTTTCAACAATTTTTCTTTCATAGTTCTTATTATATCATTGTTCTTTGGTACTCATTCTGCAGTCTGTAAACAAATTTATAGATTTCGGAATCATAGGCCTACTTTCTACCTTTTATTGCAGAAAGGGCATTAAAATTATAGAATAGCTTGTTATTACACTTTGAAATTATGAAAACAAAATCATATAATTGACTAGGACATTTGTATTTCCTGTGATCTGTTTCCGGATAAAAATTATTAACACTGTACAAAATATCATCTGTGAGGCACCATTGTAACACCCTGCCTAAAGCTCTCCAAAGCAATTCATCCAGTAGAGGTTTTGGACTATGCGAGGCCCTAGGCAAGCGCAGTAGCAGATCTAGAAATCTTTAGAAGGGTACAGAAAGGAAACAATATGCCTTACAAACTTTTTTTTACTACCTCAGGTTCCCACCCAGCTTTACTCGGGGAAAACACCCAGAAAGTGGTGCATATGCGTCTGCACAACCTCCCAATTCGCCCTGAAAGCGTAAACACGTGAGGCCCCTTGTATATTACCTAGTTTAAAAGCTCGTATCACACAATATATGGTATTGTAAGTGGTACAGAATCGTATAATGTACTAGATTCTTACTAAAGGCTCTCCAGGATTTTGTCCCAGAAGGACCCAAACTTACATGAATTAGATAACTAACCAATCAATCGATTCATTAAAATCACGTCCCTTAAAAACAGGTTAATTTCTGCCTATACTACCTTAATCTATCTTCGTGACAATAAATAATAAACACGTATAAGTCTTCCTGTAACTAACGTGCTGTACTTTATGTTAAGTAAAGCTTCTGTAAGTAGCGTAGAGGGATCATCTTTTCACTTGAGGATTATAGTTACTCCACTCAGTGGCGTATCCAGATGTTTGAGCAAAGAAGAAAAAACAAAAATAAAGCAAATACCAGTAGGAGAGGAAATTTAATCTCCTATATATTTGCGCTTATTGAAGCTTGTAAAGGTGCAAGACCTTAAGCAAAAGCTTAAGTTGTCTATGCTTAAAATTACCACTGCGTAGACTTATAACTTAATTTATTCATTTTTTAGTAAATAATACTTTTTGGGGGACGTTAAATCTATGATTTTCAAGTAAATATTTAAATTCCTTTCCTATGAAATGCATTCTAAATATGATTTAACTTAGCAGGAGACCTGAAAATCGTGAGATAAATGCGATAAAATGTAATAATAATCCGATTATCTTGATTTAGAATATGTTTAATACTTAACAAAACATTTTCGTTTCTCTTATCAATATACAGAATTACTTTTTTAGATATAAAAATAATTTTGAGTCAAAACAATACAGTCGAGTCTCGATTATCCGGCCTAAACGGAAACAGCGGCAGGTTGAATAACAAAAAATTTCAGTTAATAGGGAACGATTGTAATATGAGCTGTATTTAGAAGCAGATTGTTAGATAAGCTCGGTAACGATATAAAAAGATTCTATAAAAAACCTTTATTTATTCAGTTTAGAACTGCCTGCACGCGATTCTAAATTGCGTGGGTTTTCGATCAAACACTGTGATTTTTCAAAATATCCAGCAAAAAATGACAAAAAAACACCCGCAGCTAAATAACACGGAAGACCAGATAATCGAGAGACTATTGTAAATGTGACTAGGCCTTTTTCTACTTTTGAGAAAGGTTTCATCTATTGTAAATGGAACCTGGCCTTCTTGAGGTCAAAAAAGGCCTGGTCTCAGGGGCGCCCGTACATTGGGGTACTTGGGGCACGTGCCTTCCCCTTTGTCGTCGGGAGCTCTAGGGTTTTATATAATATATACACAGATATATATATATATATCTGTGAGGACATATATCTACGGAACATAAGCTATAAAAAAGGGCGTCGTATGTACTGTACTGTACATACGACGCCCTTTTTTATAGCTTATGTCCCGTTTTTTATATAGTCTGCGGGCACCGCTGCCTGGTCTATTTACTTTCTTGAAACCCCCCGATATATTAAAAAAAGCAAAACAGAGTTAAAAAGCTGTGCTATATTATTTTAAATAATAAAATTTGACAAAGATGTTATGTTTAATATACAAGAAACGGAATGACTAATGTTTATAAATATTTCAGAGGTTCCTATAAATGTGAGGCTCCATCACGGGGCATCATTAACTTATCTTATTTTTTCTATCCCATTTTTGCAATCGTAAAATTAGAAAATCAGATTTTCATCCCACAGAATCAGATATTACGTTCTATATTATCCGGTTTCCTATAATTAATAGTAAACACTCAAAATTCTATCGACTTAATTAATTACAAGATCACAAAAGCTATACTTTCAAGCGCTTAATTAAATCTCAGTAACTGCAGCTGTAAATTGGATAATCAAATCTCTAAAATAAAGATAAGAATAAATAAATAATAAATTCTAAAAAAAGTCCTTAATTTATATTTATATAAGCATTACAGGTAATCGAGGAGTTTGCTGTATGTTAATTGTCATCAATCAATTTTAATGATTTTTCCTGAAAGGATGTAGCAAAAAAAAATCTAGTGATTTTATTAAAGGTCAATTATAAATTTTAAAAAATTGCATTCAGAGAAAGACTGGTTTACGTCACAAACTTACGTGATGTTTATTTACATCCTTACAAGAGGCACATCCAGGGAGATAACAATTCTAAGATGTTGACTTCATATTTTTTCCAAGAATTTACTTCGCCTCTTCTCTTTACCTACATAAAAAATATGTGTAAAATTTAAATACTTCAGCTTTAGGCCACGCATAAATTATTTATTTATTTAGTTAATGTATTTGTATTTATTCTTATCGCGTTTGTACGTGGAAATGTCTTTTTAGGAAGTCATGAAGTTGAATTCTGTAAGACATTGAACTTGGATATTGCAGAACTTAAAAAATATATTTGTTTTTTCTGTACAGAAACCAAGAAAGAGAAGGAAAAAAGGAAACGAACACGCATAAATTTTAACATTTGGCAATTATCAGAGCTGGAAAAAGCATTTCGTGCTAGTCACTATCCTGATTTATATGCCAGGGAAGCTCTAGCACTGAGATTGGATTTAGTCGAATCTAGAGTACAGGTAATTTCCCCCTTCCCCTAAAAATTCCCCAATTTTGCTATTAAATATAAATTTTTGATATGTTTTCTATTGTAGGTTTGGTTTCAAAACCGTCGAGCCAAATGGAGAAGGAAGGAGAACACGAAAAAGGGTCCAGGACGCCCATCTCAAAACTCATTACCGAAAAGTTGCAGCGGCGAACCGATATCCGAAGAGGAATTAAAGAAAAAAGCTAAAAATCAGCGTATAAAAAAGTTATATCGTCAATTGGAACGACAGGTGGAGCGCTTAGAGCAAAAGAAAATCGCTAAAAACGTCACAATCGAATCGGTACGTCAAACTGTTAAAGAATTGGAAAGCGCCAATTACGTTTTTTCTAGAAAGATGACGTCACGACTGCAATTGTTGGGACTGTTAACACGAAAAACAACGCTCTTTACTATCGAGAGTCTTTTGTCGGATAAAAGGCATACAAATAGCCATGAATCTGTACCGTTCTTACACCCGTCCTGCTAATTTCTATAAATAAATACTCTACTAAATGTTAAGCTTTTTCAGAGAAATTTCTTTAAAATTTAGAGCGTTTTCTAGGGATTTTTCGCAATTTTCTGTTAACATTAGGGAATTTTTTTAATATTAGGGTAATTTTAAGAATTTTTCCTTTAATTAGAAATTTTTAGAATCCAAAAAAGCTTAGCATTTTAAAAATCTACTTAAAATATAGTATACTTGTCATTTAAATCTTAGACGTATAAAAACTTTAGTTATATCAGATAATTCATATTAATTAATTTTATTGAAAAATAATTTAGAGAAATTTCCCTTTATTTAAAAATTATTAATGCTAAGTTCATTCAACAATTTCCCTAAATTTTTTACCAATTTATGTTCGTATTCAGATTATTTAGTTGCGTAATGTTTGTTTTTTTAATACTGTAATAACATTTAGTTTTTAAACTGAATAAAAATTTATAATATTCTGTTTTAAGTCCGGATATACGGATTAAATTTTAGGAATTTTTTGGTAAAAATACTCCGAAGTTAGGGAAATTTAAATTTCTAAATATAACTTATGCATTTTTCTTCAATTTAATGAATGTATTCTATAAAATAAGCAACTAATTTTATCCATTATTTAGGAAAATAAATTCAAATAAACGTCCAAAAAAATAATAAAATTCGTTAAGAAAAACAATCGATTAGGGAAATTTCCCTACATTATTATTATATTACGGATGGATTTCTCAGTTTTTGAAGTAAATATGACGAATTAATACAGTAGTATATAATGTGAAGTTTATTAAAANTGTGTTCTATAAATAACACCATAGCCTAATATATTAATAACTTTTATAATTGGCAATTTGAAGGAAAAAAACGATTTTTTTATCAAACAAAATTTCTTGCTTAAATATTTTCAGCTTGTTTGACAACTCAATTTCAAGTTACTTAAACCTTATGTATAGAATGTATTAAAAAATCAATTTTTAAATATTTAAAATCTTGTTTTAACATTTCTTACATTCTTCTTCCGTAATCAGAAGGCAACATAGTAGGGGGAAAAAACTAGAATTTTTCCCTATTATTGTTTTTTTTTTGCCGTCGTCCTTTTAACAATGACCCAGAATGTTTAATAACTCTAATCGTGTTCCGGGCAGAATAAATTGAATCATAAACCGGCAGTTATGTGGATCCCGGGAATAAAATGTTTTAACTAGACTACTTCCCTTTTGTCAGTCGATTAAAACATGTTTCATATCTATGATAACTAATAAAGAGGAAAATGTCATATAAAATTAATTATATAGGGAAAAATCCTCGAATTTCCCTAAACGCGTTTGTATAATTAAAATTACTTAATAGGGGCTTTTTTTTATTTTTAAAATAGGGATTTTTCTAGTTAAACTATTAAAATTATTATATTTATGACATGGAAAATAAAATATAATTTATAAAAATTCCTGTTATTGACGTATTTTAAAGTTTATTTTCCGTCATTTTACTACATTTTTTCGATATTATTCTCCACTTTAACAGCTTCCTTTCATCAAATTTTATAATGAAGAAGGTCATTGTAGTTAATGCACTTAAATAACAGTATAAAGACGCGAAAAAAATAAATTTTCGTTTAATCTGAGACGGGTCAAACTTCACTTCTGGGGCTAAAAGGTGGTGAGGGATTTTTTTTGAAGCAGGGAAAAAATGAACTTGTTTACGTCCAGACGGGAGCTGATTCGATATAAAATTCGACCCCAAACAGTCTGACATATGTAAAAAAAAATGACTATAGAAGGAAGAATAAAATCATTCAAACATTTTATCGAATAAGTAAATTAACATTCCGGAAGGATTTATATTCGTAATAATCGTTGTCAGCCCTTATCAATTCATTCAGTTTCCTAAACGGTAATCCTCAATTACGAATTTCCGGATATCGTCATAACCGGAAGTATCATGAGGTCACGCGAGTTGTCACGAGGGGCGTGACTATTTCAAAGATGGCTTCTGGCGTGTTTTCGTGGTGTTCGTGTCTCCTTCGTTTAAGGTATAGTCAAGACGAAATAGAACAGATACAGAGAAGTAAAAAAATCGACAGAATGTTGAAAAGGGATAAGAGGACAATACGCAGACAGATCAAACTATTACTTTTGGGTGCTGGTGAGAGCGGAAAGAGCACGTTCCTCAAACAGATGAGGATCATTCATGGACATTACTTTGACGTCGATTGTCTCAACGAGTACCGCTTCATTATTTATCAGAACATTGTCAAAGGTATGAAAGTGTTAGTCGATGCCAGGCAGAAACTTCATATCGAATGGGGTAATGCCGACAATAGCAGGTACGGCCGTCATTTAATGTCTTACGAAGATAAAATGCTTATGGATCAACGTTTGTTCTCGGAATATGCTGAATCGGTTCGGCATTTGTGGTCCGATCCCTCCATTAGGATGGCATTTGACAGGAGAAGGGAATTTCAATTGGTGAGAAATATATATGTATAAATATAAATTTAAAATATATGTTAATTACTTCTTTTATACATTTTATATATTAATTAGTGTTTATTGAGGAAGTTGAGTTGTTATGAGGGTGTTCTGTTGAGGATTAATTTTAAGAAATTGTAAAATTGTTTTGGCCTTGCTTAGTTTTTAAAATATACTTCTTTTTTTACAGTGTTACATATTTGCAAGGAATTTTTGAATTTGTTGCCTCGATTAAAAATTAATAACATAAATCTTACTCTGTTTGATTCAAATTAAAGCTGGAATTTCAAAATAAAACAAAACTGTACATTTGAAGGGTGTTTGTATATATACAGGGGGATGCAAAAGTAGGTATACAGTTGTTATTGCAGAAAAAACATACAGGGAGAAAATAGGAAGAAAAAACATTTATTTTTATGTACAAATAAAATCACAAATAAGGAATACAAACTAAAAAAAGATAATAAAAATAATAATAATGAACACCAAACATTTGTATTTCTCAGATTCTCAACTGTATAGCTACTTTTGCACCCCCTTTATATCTTTTACAATATTAAAAAAAAAACACAAATCATTTCATTTAGTTTTATAAAATATGTCAGAAGTCTGTTATCAACTTTATAAAATTAAATATTTTAATTATTGAACATTCTGAAAAATGAATGTTTTTAATAAGTTAACATAGTTTTTCTTTCAAATGTCATAGAAATGAATATAGATAAAATGCACAATTTGTATTTTGTATTTATCATTAAGAGATACAGAGAATTTTTTGTTTTATTCAAAAATAAAATTGGATAACATTTAATGTCAACAATATGCCATTTTAAAGAAAATTTTGAGAACTTTTATCATTTATTTTATTTTTATAGCTAGCCAGTTTGAAAATATAACATATATCTTATTTGAATATATAGATAAACATAAATGGAAAAAGAAATTAATAATTTTAAACAATTTATTTGTCAACTGGAGTTAATGAAACAAATAACTATAATTTCATTTAATTATGATAAATTAGTAGATTTGAAATATTTTTAATTACAATTAGAATATTTTTAATGTACTATGAATTATTAATTTAATAAGCTGATAATACATTGTGAAGTATTGTCTTATTAGTTTTATGTTATCGTTTGCTAATTAAAGTCAATTTTGCAGTGATATATATTCATATGGCTACAAGATATACTGTATCTGTATAGTCTTTTATAAAGCTAATTTCAAATTTTAATATATAAATTTGACAAAATAAAAACAAAATTTTTTTTGATAAAATTCAATAACAAAAAAAAATGTTAGGAATTAAGTCATAAAATTGAGTATTTTTTGTTGTTGCAATTAAATTTCATAATCATATAATCTAATGATGATATATATATATATGTAATGCTATGAATTTTCCTACTTGGATAATTTATTACAAGTGTCTTTAAAGAATTAACTCTATTTCTGTTTTTATTATAAAATGAACGTTTATGAGAAATTGCTCTTATACGAATTGTTTTTAAAAGGTGTTTTCTTTGTTGTTACACAATTGTCATTTATACCTTTTATGGATACACATTTCCTGTTGTTATCTTGATACATATTGAGACTAATTTCATATGAAAACTTCTCAAAAAATATTTTGGTATAATTTAAAACTGTATGTAGTTAGTTACAATATATAAATATAATATTCTGCAAAACTATCAATAAATAACTGTACAATCCTGAAACAGTACCTTTATCGTACTGTCTTTTATTTACAATATATATTGTAAATAAAATTTATATATATATATATTTTTAGAATTGAGTTTAGTTTGCATTTTTAAGAAAAGATACATTTGTTTTTGATTAGTAAGAGATTTATTACTTGTGTTTTGTCATCAAATGATGAGGAAAAGGATATACTTAATTTCCAGGTGTCCAAGATCTTTACATATTTGTAAACATATCAGTACATTGACATCTGTTTTAACAGGTGTTAACAAATTTAGTAAATCATAGTTCAATATTTAAATACCAGTAGAAGTAATTTGTTAAATATATTTTTGAATAGTAAGAAATTGAGTCCTGAAAATTACTTTGAAACTCTGTATAAAGATTTAAAACTTATTATTTTATTATCTTATTACTTTTTGTAGTTTATTAAAAAATAAGATTTATTCAATAAGAAATTTATAAAAATATACAATTCTAATTTATATTAAAAATTAGTCAGATCTCCTTTAGATAATATTTTATATCTAAATAAAGGAATTTTTTTGTTTTTAATTAAGTTAACTGTATTAGTCTTTAAATAATAATAAAAAATAATTTCATCAGCTTCAACAGATTTGAACAAATGATGAATAATGGACAAAAGTAATATAGTCATGAAAATTTCCAGCTGCAAACTTCATTAGTGATGTAGATTACACTTTAAAGTGAAAGTTGAGAAAATAGAATTATCTTTACTTTAAAAACAAAAACAATTTTAAACCAAGCTAATATCTTAAGTTATGTACTTTACAGTATATAATGTGTCTTTATGATTATTGGGTTGTCTGGAAAGATTATTTTTTGCTGAATTCAAAAAAAGTTTTTCTTTGTATTAAATCTTTAAGTCAATGAGAATAATATATTCTTGATTTAAAAAATTTTTTATTATGTCAGGTAATTAGAAAATGTCTTGATAAAATTCAGAGAACAATTTTTAGTATCGAATTGTTAATGTAATTTTATTGAACTTTAAACTTTTTCATTAAAAAAGTTCGGTAAAGAACAGAAAAGATGATGATTGGAAGGTAAGATTTTGAAGATATAACAAGATGTTTTTGTATTTTTCACTACAATTCTCTTTAGTTTTTCTCTGGATTTTTATTACAATATGTCAAGACACATTATTTTGATAAAAAATTAATCTATACATTAAACTAATTAAAAAGATATATTGCTATTGGAAATTTTCAACAATTGTCAACTACAGTTCTCAAATAGAGCATAATATCAGTCAGCCATTGGGTCAAACTATTTTATAATAACAAAACTTTTGCAAACTTATCAAGAATGAATACTTTGTATGGTTGTAACTTAGAGTTTGGCAATGCTGATGATATTTTCTCTGGACATTATCATAGTGCAGCCATGTTTTCTATTATTAAGCAGTCTGTTGCATATATTATATATGCATTTATATATATGGACAAAAATTTCCTGCTGTCCATATAATCCAATAAATCTTGATTTGACAAAGTATGATGTATTCATTTATTACATTTGTTTACAAATCCTATGGCATTCAAATACACTTGTTTTCAGTAGAAATTACAAATTTATTGGAAGCACAGTTAAAATTCAAAATTTATACATTTTGTAAATGTAAACTTTTTACTGATTTAAAGCACAGATTTGGTCATCAGCTATTGTTTGTTTCATTGTTTATATCAAAATTTCCTTAAATCTTGCAAACCATTTACAACAAGTTCTTTCTTATATAGGTACTTACTTCTGTATTAATTTTACAAAGGTTTAATGCTGTATTGATTTTACCATATTTATTATTCTTTTTTTAGAATTCATTTAATATGGCTCAAGTATACTCAATTAATGATTATAATGTGCCAAAAATAATCTAAAGCAAAATGATTTCTGAATTACATTGGTCTATATTACTACTACTGTATTAAATTAATTAATTAGATGCTAAGTAATTTGGACTATAGGCAAATGTTAGGTGCAATCTCATGCTAAATTTAATTATTATAATTAAATTAATATTTTAATAATTATTTTAGAAGTTTCTGGAAGAAAAGAATCAGCCTGAAGCAGGACTTTAACCCACAACCGCTGCTAAGAATAGTAGGTGTAATATGGTCCAATATAATTTGGCAATCGTTTGTAACTGTTGGGTTTGGATGTTTATGTTTGATTTAATTAATTATTCAAAAATTGTTTTACTTTAGAGAGGATCAATAAATAAGGTAATAAGTGAATTTCTGAACATAACTTTTATTAATAGAAATATGAAACTACATCCAACAGGGGTGCCTCTATGTTGGTGCTTGTATTCCCTTTTCATCTGTGTTGCGCTTCTCTAATCACCAAGAAGGTTCCAAATTCCATTAACAGCAAACAACAGAAAATTCATGACTTTTAGCCTGTTCTGCAAATATAAAAAACTAATGAATTATATTTGTCCATTGTCCCATGTAACTTCATATGTTGACCAAAACTTGGCCTTGAAAACAAGATTCTCAAGGCCAAGATAGTCCTGATTGCAACCAGTGTTGTTTTGTGGGACTGCTGATTCAATATTGAATCATAGTTTGAAGCTCAGATAAAAGTTTGAGTGCTGTCTATTGGTGTTAATAAGGTTTTGATTAGTAAAACATAAAAATAAATACAAAATATCTCACAAACACTTTTGATATGTATAGTCCAGGCAAAATGAAAACAGATTTTAGAACATTGATATAAATTTTAACATTAATATTAATAGATTCTAAATGAAATGCATGTGTTACCTTTTAATGTTTAACATTAATTTGTTCTAATTAGAACATAAATGTTAAATTTAAATGGTGCTCTATTAAAATTATACATTTAATTAACAGTCAAATTAAAATTGAAAAATATTAACTACTAGGATTTAATTTTTTAAATTATTAAATAGTGAAACATATCAATATTTTTGGGAGCTCTAGAATGGGCTTATTACATGGCTCCAGTTTCTCAATAAATGATGTTTTCCAGATGAATAAACAGTTGCGATTTTCACATTGTACAAGGATGAAGATTTATTCCACAGGGATGTAAAGTAATGATTGGTTTGATTTCATTTTGCCCGAAGAAGTCATTTTATACATGTTGAAAGTCCTTGTGAGATATTTTGTATTTATTTTTGTATTTTACTCATCAAAACCTTATTAATGCCAATAAACAATGCTCTTAAACTTTTATTTGGTAATTACTTTTTCATGCCAGATTCTTATTTCTTTCATAATTTGAAACTTTTTGCATAATGTATGATTTTCCTTTTTATAGCTTATGCCTCCCCTTTTGTATAGTCTGTGGGTGCTACTGACAGCCAGACATACATAGATAAGAACACTGTTTCCACAGAATCATCAAATTTGTCCAAGCATTTGTTCCACTGGGTAATCAATGCATCCATTCTGTCAAAAAAAATTTATTTCTTGACTCTCCTGCCAGGTGGTGATATCCTGTTGCACACTCTCCAAAGTTGGAAATTGTCCATGGAGATGTTTTTCATTGGCCCAAAGAGATGGAAATCTCTGAGTTCCAGGTCTGGGCTATAGAGAAAGTGTTCCAAAACTTTCCAATGCATATCATCAATTTGGGAACATTAGGCAGTGTATGGTCTCACATTGTTGTACAAGAGAATGACACCTTGCAGTGCCCTTGATCTCAAGGTATAGGCTATTAGTCATCTTCCTCTCTGTTGTACAGACGTTGTTACTGTATTTATTAATCTCTCTTGTAAAAAACTGATATTAAAAAGATTATGATGATTAAATTGAGTGGCATTTATGTTGATAATCAGTATGTACTTTCTGAACTATTCAGTATCTTTATATTTGTATTTATGATTATGCCTGACTTTATGAAATTAAAATTAATTATAAATTAACCTTTATTTTTATTTTAAATCTTTTGTTTCATTATAGTTATGAATCATCATTTTATTTAGTAAACTACAAATAATTTAAAATTATCTTCTAAAATAATTGCCAGTTGAAATTTAATGCAACTGGCAAATATCACAAAATTGTTTTTGTTTAAGTACTTATCAGTTTATGTAATTAAATGTTTATATATAAGATATAATATGATATTCATATTCAACTATTAAATCTTAATTATTTATATAATTTTGTTATAAATAAAACATTTCCACTTTGTTATGATTATGAAAGTTTTGAATTTTGAAATTCTTGAAATTATGATATTTTTTTCCATTTGCAATTTATCTCTTATATTTTCCTGTTACAAAACATTTGACAACTCTCTTTTGAACTAATTTCTTTGAATTTAGCAACTTAAATGCTGTGGTATATCCAAAAGGGGACACTGTCAACTAACTGGATACTAGACATCTGGGTAACAAAATAAGAGATCAGTGGTAGAGAAAAAGAAAATTTTTTATTGTTTTATTTATTAAAATAACCATTCTTTTCTATTGATCTACTACCTGGTAAATTTAAATGACATTTTGTTAAGAAACGAGTTAAGTGAGTTAAAAGAACGATTTTGTAGTTAACAAACATATCTATACATGTTACATATATCTATACGTATTTTATTTTATTTATTTTTGCAAGTAAATAGAAAAGTTTTGAAGGACAGTTTATATCTACCCCAAAATTGACAAATATATGTACATAAAAACAAAGATAACAGTTACATAAAATTAAAAATACATTACATTAAATAAAATATAAGTTAAAAAAAAAAAGTATAAAAGTTTTTCAAAAGAATTTGTTTTCAAAGAACTGCTTTTCTTTGATGTGCTTTGTTAATTATTTTATGTCAGAAGCAATTAATAATGCTTGTAGGTTGTTCCAAAACATTTCCTAAGTTGGAAATAACTCGTAACTCTGATAGTTCGTAACTTAAAGCTCATACATCATAAGTCATAACTATACATATATATATTTTACCAATATTTACAAAAAATAAATAAGTTAAATAAAAAATATCTGCCAAATTGTATGCTTGCTAAGCATGCAAAAATTTTTAAGTTTCTGGTTCTCAAATGATGGTAGTCCAGTTAACCGTTGCTCACTTGGCTATTGTCCATTGTGAATCACCCTGTTGATCGTCACCTAGTTGTCGTATACCAATCCAAATATATTTGAAAGTGTTTTTTAAGAATTGAAAAATCTGATACTAGATTAGATTTTGTTGTTAACAATCAGAATTATATGTAAAACAACAAATGTTTAGGTAGAATACAAATTAATTACAGTTTGGAGGAAACTATTCAATTTATATTATAAAACATTTTCTATAAAATTTTGGTTGCTAATTAATAATGAAATCTTACTATCCTGAACATAACTTTTATTAATAGAAATATGAAACTACATCCAACAGGGGTGCCTCTATGTTGGTGCTTGTATTCCCTTTTCATCTGTGTTGCGCTTCTCTAATCACCAAGAAGGTTCCAAATTCCATTAACAGCAAACAACAGAAAATTCATGACTTTTAGCCTGTTCTGCAAATATAAAAAACTAATGAATTATATTTGTCCATTGTCCCATGTAACTTCATATGTTGACCAAAACTTGGCCTTGAAAACAAGGTTCTCAAGGCCAAGATAGTCCTGATTGCAACCAGTGTTGCTTTGTGGGACTGCTGATTCAATATTGAATCATAGTTTGAAGCTCAGATAAAAGTTTGAGTGCTGTCTATTGGTGTTAATAAGGTTTTGATTAGTAAAACATAAAAATAAATACAAAATATCTCACAAACACTTTTGATATGTATAGTCCAGGCAAAATGAAAACAGATTTTAGAACATTGATATAAATTTTAACATTAATATTAATAGATTCTAAATGAAATGCATGTGTTACCTTTTAATGTTTAACATTAATTTGTTCTAATTAGAACATAAATGTTAAATTTAAATGGTGCTCTATTAAAATTATACATTTAATTAACAGTCAAATTAAAATTGAAAAATATTAACTACTAGGATTTAATTTTTTAAATTATTAAATAGTGAAACATATCAATATTTTTGGGAGCTCTAGAATGGGCTTATTACATGGCTCCAGTTTCTCAATAAATGATGTTTTCCAGATGAATAAACAGTTGCGATTTTCACATTGTACAAGGATGAAGATTTATTCCACAGGGATGTAAAGTAATGATTGGTTTGATTTCATTTTGCCCGAAGAAGTCATTTTATACATGTTGAAAGTCCTTGTGAGATATTTTGTATTTATTTTTGTATTTTACTCATCAAAACCTTATTAATGCCAATAAACAATGCTCTTAAACTTTTATTTGGTAATTACTTTTTCATGCCAGATTCTTATTTCTTTCATAATTTGAAACTTTTTGCATAATGTATGATTTTCCTTTTTATAGCTTATGCCTCCCCTTTTGTATAGTCTGTGGGTGCTACTGACAGCCAGACATACATAGATAAGAACACTGTTTCCACAGAATCATCAAATTTGTCCAAGCATTTGTTCCACTGGGTAATCAATGCATCCATTCTGTCAAAAAAAATTTATTTCTTGACCCTCCTGCCAGGTGGTGATATCCTGTTGCACACTCTCCAAAGTTGGAAATTGTCCATGGAGATGTTTTTCATTGGCCCAAAGAGATGGAAATCTCTGAGTTCCAGGTCTGGGCTATAGAGAAAGTGTTCCAAAACTTTCCAATGCATATCATCAATTTGGGAACATTAGGCAGTGTATGGTCTCACATTGTTGTACAAGAGAATGACACCTTGCAGTGCCCTTGATCTCAAGGTATAGGCTATTAGTCATCTTCCTCTCTGTTGTACAGACGTTGTTACTGTATTTATTAATCTCTCTTGTAAAAAACTGATATTAAAAAGATTATGATGATTAAATTGAGTGGCATTTATGTTGATAATCAGTATGTACTTTCTGAACTATTCAGTATCTTTATATTTGTATTTATGATTATGCCTGACTTTATGAAATTAAAATTAATTATAAATTAACCTTTATTTTTATTTTAAATCTTTTGTTTCATTATAGTTATGAATCATCATTTTATNTAGACCCCAAAAATAAAAAATATATACTTTCTTACTATGTTT